CTGAAACATACAAGAGAGGTGCAATAACAAATTTGCCTTAATTATAGATTCTGTTAAAGATTCTCCTCAAGTTACAATAGCTAAATTTTTGAGATGAAAAACGAGATTTTGTGACCTAAGAATAGAGTGCTCTGGTGTTAGACAAAAACTTTTTACAATGGTTTCTAGCAAAAATAAAAGGACACCTGTTTTCTGGACAATTGTTTTGCTGATAGATATGAAAGTAATGGTTACGATTGGAAATTGCAGCAGTACAATGAGAAAAAAAACATGGAGAAGAGTGAGGTTTGACTTGGAATTGTCGAGAAGGAATAAAAGATTCTATGCTAGCCTGATTCCGAGATGTTATGTAAGAAACACAATTTGTCAGCAAGAAGATGAAAGATTTCCACCCAAAGGCCATCACGAAAAAAATCACGGAAAGAGTCAGCTTTTAGGTAGTTGTAATCAGTACAACAACAAAGGGTTTCTGATGATGAAGAAGAATGAGATAAAATTTTAGAGAAATTAAACTATGATTAGAAGCACCTAGTGGTGAATGTGGAGAAACTGAGCCCTGACTAGGATTAGAAACAAGACAAGTTGACTATTTGTGTTAGAGATTGAGAAAGGCAAAAATAGTAGGCCTTAACGTCTGCGTTAAGGCCCGTAACATCACTGTCACTAGATCCAAGTTATTCAGTGTAATGAGCATTCAGTGTGATGAGCATTCAGTGTGATGGGCATTCAGTGTAATGAGCATTAAAGTCACCAACAATAACAATACTGGCTAAAGATTATCAAAAAACTATTATCAAAAAGAGTGCAGTCTTCAGATGAAGGAGAACAATATAGAACAAAGAAAAAAGCAACAAAGTAAGGTGGTGATAAATGGAAGCACATAAAAGAATAGTCTGTGGATTAAAACATAGTTTTTCTACAAACTTGTGAGTTAAGAATATAAATGCCCAGGCCAAGGATGTGACTATTCGAGTCTTTACGAATCTTGACAAATTGTGTAGCGCTCTTATAAAGAAGGAATGACTCTTTAAAAATTAATTATACCTGTATAATAAAATAATAATAAAAGCAGATTAAAACGTATCTTATTTACATTTTGATTTTACCTAGAAGCATGGCTAGGTTAAAAGGATTCGTAGGTGCCCATATTCAAATGTCATTTGTTTTACAAAAATTAATGATTTGTAAGTAAGGTTTTCACCAAAAAAGGTTTTGACCTAAATATTTTGGAAAATCTTTATTTTGTCTTATTGCTACATTTTGATTTTTCTAGTAAAAAGTCTAATTTTCTACATGTTGAGAGATTTTGAAAGTTATCCCTCAAAAAATGAACGTGCACCATCCCACTAAGCGTTGCATTCTTGCTAAAAAAAAGATAATTATCTGAGGACCATATTTTAAAATAAGTTTTACACACGTAATCATACTTTTATTTTTTTCAAATATTTAGATACAGTTGAGTTTTTTTTCTTCTTTTCTAGATTCATTTGGTTTACCGGTAATTAAGAGTTGTAAACCGATAGTTTTCTTTATTGAATTTTAAAACATGTTTATTTATCATTTTGTTTTTTTATAACAATATCATTAAGTTGAAAATATATAAGTATAGTGCCGAAACTTGAATTTTATCATTTGTAACTAAAAAATTTGTTAAAACCATGTGTTTTTTTAACCTTTTAATTTCCACTCCTACAAAAACAAAATTGAAAAAACTGTAAATCGTCTTTTTTAATTAGTCTACTTTTCTAACTTCGTAAAAAAACATTTTCATATTTAAAATTGAAAAATCTTTAAAAAATCCAATTTTTGTGTAGTGACACAAAAAAATCCAATTTTTGTGTAGTGACGCATGCATTAATTTGAAGTTTTTTCGCGTCATTTATTTTAGATGATTTAATTTTGATTACACCGGTTAAACTATAATGATGTGGGTCATACGGATTTTTGTGTTTAATGCAATAGAATTTAAAATGTAAATAACATTAACTTATCTTATAAGTCGCTGCAACAATGATATTGTATTGGTTTTATTTTCAATATCAGTGCGGTTAAAAGTAAACGGTTAAAAGTAAACTAGGGTTGTCAATTTATATTTGTCAAATCATAAATGTTTTCATAGTTAAGCCATCTTCAGTTAATAATATTTATAAATTTTTCTTAATTACTGTTTATTATTTACGGTTGGAGAAAACATTGGCCATTATGCGTTTAAAAACCTTTAATATCACGATGCTATATATCCATCACTATAAAAAATTAACATACGACTGATAAGTGACCGGAACGCCAACCCCGGGTAAAAATGAGACTTTTTGCAAACCCGGCCCCCGCAATACTATAAGATTCACCAGGGGTTTTGTAGCTGAGACTAGAAATAAATTTATAGTACTTATTATTTTATAACTTTATAGTTACATTTACTATTTATTTAATACTGGCATACTTTTTTTATACTCTAATTTTTTCCAACAAAGTTGCAAACAACCACTATTAAGCTTTGAGGCACTTTAAAATAATGGATAGGATTAAAAAGCTAGGAAATTGGTTACCTGAAGACTTAAAAGGTTGTGTGTTGAACAAAAAAGGAAAACATAAAGATAGGTAAAAGTTATAAGGTTTTTTTTTTATGTGCAAAGAAATAAACTGGATTAATAAAAGTTTTTGTAGCATGAGGGGACAGATACAGTAAAAGGATGCAACTTGTTGAATAAGAAGCCATGCAAGAATGAGTTTTGCTTTATCGTAATAGAGATGATAGCTCGTTTGAGTATTGACCATAATAGTATTTGTATAAAAAAAAAATACAACCATACGACATATATAACCATAAAGCAAGTTTAATTATGGATTTTAAACAAAGTTTCACAAGTTTATTGTGGATTTCAAGTCTAGACTTAAAATCCACAAGCCATTGCAAATCATAGACTGTTACAGAAGAGAGATTAGATTTAAAATCGGCTGCTTGTTCTTAGCAATCAAAAAGTAAAATTTTTTTGTCAAGACAAGAGTATAAAGTTGAATGGTCAGCAAATAGAGCCACTTTAGATGTAAAATTTTCATGAAAATCGTTATTGTAGATAAGAAATAATACAGGAGCAAAGATTAAACTATGTGGTACCCTTAAAGTTACTCGAAATGAAGAAGAGTGTAGGCCTTCAAGAATTAAAGGCCTTCAAGAATTAAAAAAAAAAAAATTAAAAAGAATTGATTAAATAATCTCAAAAACTTTATATAAAGAAACTAATAATAGAGTGAAGACTAATGGTAGGATAGTTGGAGAGATCAAAGTGTTTTCTAGAGTTTATAAAAATTGGAACCACTTATTTAGCACTTTTAAGAGTTTAGCAAAAATCGAAGAGAGTTCTGGAGAACACTTTTTTAAGACTATCATGGAATTTTTGTCTGAAGCACAAACTGTAAAAGTGTTTAATTGAGAATTAAGTTTATAGTATGGTGGAATTAGCTCAAAAAAAACCCAAACCCGGAAAAAATCATATAAAGTTAGGCTTTTGCACATAGGTTAGTTAGCATGTCAACAATGACCAAAAAAAAAGCTCCGTGTTTTTGAGAACAGGAAATGTCATTTTGGGCCCATTTTTCAATCAAAAATTTGGGCAAAATGACTAATTTTTTTATATCACAAAAAAGTTATAAATATGTATGGTTTGTGAGTTATAGCTGCTCAAAGTGGGAATTATGACGTCATATTTTTTATAATTAATTTTTTTTGGAAATCGTAAGCATGATATAACTTTAGAAATATAATTTAAAGCTGAATAAAATACTGTCAAACTGTACATATAAAAAAATTTATTAAATGTACAGTTTGAATGAATCGTTTTTGTTCTTGAGAGAAACTTTTCGATCAAATTGTGTTTAAAAAAAGACATATGTTTAAAAAAAGACACATGCAATGAAAATATGAAATTTAGAACAAATATAATTCTATTCAAATATATAAAATAATATAGTATTACTATTATATTATATTCATATATTTAAATTTATATATATTAATATTATATATAGGTATAATACTAATATAAATTTAATACTAATTTAATTCAGTACAAATATAAATAGAAAGTGTGTAAAGAGATGAATGAAACTTGTTCGCTGTGTAATGGTAATTTTGAAAAGTCTCCATCAGTTTCAGTAAAAAAGAAAGGACTCCAAACTTTAAAGAGAATCTGCAATCAAAGAGGATTATACGATGTAAATAGGTATATTTAAATATAAAAGATAAAATAGTATCAAATGCTAACGATAAACAGATTTGAACAATATAGCACGTTTGCATTAAAATTGTACGGAATTACCTTTATTTTCTTTCTTCAGGAACACGGCAAGAAATGTTGGAGCATTAAAAAATGCCAATTAGAAGTTGCGGACTTCAAGGATCATTTGCTTTTTGTTCATGCATGGAGTGGATGTGACTCCACCTCAGCAATATTTGGCAAAGGAAAAGCAATGTTTTTGAACTCAGTCAAAAAATCAGAAAGTATGAAGGAGATATCCGAAACATTTATGGACTACTGGGCAACAAACAAAGAAATTGCAGAGTCCTCAGTCAATGCTTTCAAAGAATTATATAATGGACATCAACAGACTTCATTAGCCAAATTAAGGTTAATTCTTTTTTAAACATACACAAATTTTTATTAAACTTTTTTAAATAGTCAAACTGCTCCTAGCATCATAAGACATTTGTTTTTTAGGATTGTCTTTATATTTAAACAAATCTTTCTTCAAACATTAGATATTCAAAATATCTTAAAGCATTGTGCAAAGGTATTGTTGTTCTTGAAAAACTACCACCGACTGATCGGGCTGCTCATTTCCATGGTTACAGAGTTCATCTGCAATTAATTGAATGGAAAATGCTAGACGAAGGATTAAATTTAAAACCTACTGAATGGGGATGGAAATCCACTGATGGGCACCTTGAACCAATTCCAACTGACAAAGAAATAGCTCCACCAAATTTGCTCAATGTCATTCGATGCAACTGCAGATCTAGTTCAAAAAACCAATGCCAAACAAAAACATGCATTTGTAGGAAAAATGGAATGAAGTGTATGGCAGCGTGTGGGGGTTGCCATGGTATGGAATGCAGCAATAAGACAGTGAGACGATTTTAATGAATTAAATTTATAATTGATTAATTTCTATACAAATAAAAATTAATTATCTGTAAGTAAAAATTCTAATATCTTATTTTAATTTAATTTAGTTGGACATTGAGGAGGAACATGAAAACAGTGATAAAGACAGCGATGAAGAAGAAAACTCTAAAAATATTTTTGATGAAATGTTTTAAACATCAAAATATTATCATAATAAATGAAATGTCTTTTTGTGTCTTAAAACATATATTAATTATGATATTATAATCATATCCATATTATAATTATGATATGGAAAATGCAATGAACAACGTTGTTAGTAATAAAAACTTATTATGGAAAAGTTGCACCGAATTCGAAAAAAGGCAGACAAAAAAATTTCCTAGTCCCTAAAAGTATAGGGCCTAACGCTATAGCCCCCCCCCCCCCCACCTAGCTACAGCACTAATATTTTTACGTTGAGTTAATAAAATATTTTACATAGCGTTAAATTCTATTTCTAACGGCATACCATGCTTACGATTTCAAAGAAAAAATATTTTTTCAAAATGATGACGTCATAAAACCCACTCTGAACAGCCATAGCTCACGAACCATAAATTTTTTTAACTTTGTGTAAGCAAATTTTTTACTCAGCATTAAATTGTCTTTCAAATGATATATAAAACTTATAATTTTGGAAATATAAAAAATTTAGTCATTTTGCCCAAATATTTGATTGAAAAATGGGCCCAAAATGACATTTCCTGTTCTCAAAAACACGGGGCTTTTTTTTTGGTCATTGTTGACATGCTAACTAACCTATGTGCAAAAGCCTAACTTTATATGATTTTTTTCCGGGTATAACTCCAATTCCACCATACTATTAGCATTGGAAGCCTAGAACCTATCATCTGAGATAGATAAAAGATTTAGTAAACTGAGAATAACAGAAGTTGACAGCAGATAGGACCTTTTTATATTGGTTTCTTGCAATAATAAAAGGACATATGTTCTTAAGAAAGATGTTCTTGTAAAAAATATGAAAAAAAATGATTACAGTTCAATAAAGCAACTGCTCAAGATAGTGAGGCTTGACTTAAAATTGAAGAGAAGGAATTAAAGCTTCCAAACTTATATTCCAGAAGGAATAAAAGCTTTTAAGATGCGCATTTATGCATACATAATATAGATATAAACATATATATTTGCTATTTATTTAAATGCTACATATATTATCCTTACATTTTATGTAAACTTTTGATGTAAAGTAAATAAATTTAAAAGCAATTATACCAAGTTTATATGATAAAAAATCTCAAATTCTCATTAAAAAAAAATCTCAATTTTCTAAAATAAAATCAAACTATTTTGAAACTTATAAATTTCACTCATAAAATACAAAATTTATTTATAGATTAAAAGTAAAAAAACTAACAATGAAATAGTATATAATACAGCAAATGTTTTTAAAGTTAAACAAACTGTGAAATACTTTGATAGCCTAGCTCATTTCTTTTTATAGTAAATCCAATTTTAACTTCATTGAATTCTCTGCTGAAACTTATAAAATAAATTATTAAACACACAGCACAAAACCATTCTGATAAAGAACTTATAATGTGCATTTTATAACCTGGATCAGTGGACTTCCAAATAGTTAAATGTTTCGGTCCATTACTTGTGGCATTGTTTGAAAAATAAAAAAAAACGCCAAAAAGTATAAATAATATAGCACTTGAAATACAGAGAATCAATCTAACATAATAAAGACATTTTGAATTAAATCCACATTCCAGTATACAAGCGGTGAGATATGTCTGAAAACAACAATAAACCACACAACCTCCAAATACAAATGCAGCACCTACAATATGAGCTTCAGCAGATTTTCCTCGATCCTTTAAAGAAAAAATTAATGATATCACATTAATAACTTAAATGCTCTCAAAGAAATATAATGTAATTTTATGAGGAAAATATAAAACTTAAAAATATGTTTAAAAAATTAATTTTTTTCCACTATTTGTGGCACTGTTTTTGTCGATGAATACATAACTAATTTATATTTATGAAAAAATAAATAATTTAACTCATTGCCCTCACGAAATCTCATATTCTCATTAATTCTCCCATCACAGTAATTTTTTTTTGTGAAGAATCTTTTTGTCATACATAAACGTAAAAAAATTTGGAATATTCTTTTTGTTTAAAAGTTGGTTATTTCAAACATTTAAAAACCTTCCTACGCCACTGTGTGTGTATATATATATATATATATATATATATATATATATATATATATATATATATATATATATATATATATATATATACACATTGTATATATATATAACATATAAAAGTTGGTTATTTCAAACATTTAAAAACCTTCCTACGCCACTGTGTGTGTATATATATATATATATATATATATATATATATATATATATATATATATATATATATATATATATATATATATATACATTGTATATATATATAACATATAAAAGTTGGTTATTTCAAACATTTAAAAACCTTCCTACGCCACTGTGTGTATATATATATATATATATATATATATATATATATATATATATATATATATATATATATATATATATATATATATATATATATATATATATATATGTATGTATATATATATATATATATATATATATATATTTATATATATATATGTATGTATATATATATATATATATATATATATATATATATATATATATATATTTATATATATATATATGTATGTATATATATATATATATATATATATATATATATATATATATATATATATATATATATATATATATATTTATATATATATATATGTATATATATATATATATATATATATATATATACACATATATATATATAAAAACACTGTGTTCGAAGTGAGGCATTATATAAAGGGATATAAATAACCACCTATACACAAGGCAGGCACGAAATGGTTGCATATATCATCAAAAGAGTGTTAAATCAATTAGATTAAATTAAAACAGCCTTATTTAAATACTTTATGAAAAAAAGTACATATTTGTAAAAAAATAGTTTTTATTTATAAATTATTTATATATCAATAAATAACAATAATATCTTGTTTTTCATCTTTATTTAAAAATTTTAATGTACACTATACATAGACAGCAAAAAATGGTCATTAAAGCATCAAGGTTAACAAATGAAAATAACCACAAAGTGAATCCATTAACTGAGGTTTAAGCAGACAGTATATAAAAAAAATATTTGAAAAACTTTTTTCTATATATTTTTTTCAATAATCTTCATTTTTATCTTTTTTTAAAAAGTTAAATTTACAAATCAATGTCAAAAGTAAAAACGACTACTTTAACCTTGCAAAAGTTACATCAACTGAAAGTTTATACTAAATGCTTGAATGATTTAATTGCTGATTTAAATTTTAAACTTTAAACTTAATTGAAGGTTTAAATTTTGGCAGAAATATGTATGAAACACTTTAGATATTAAAAAAAAAAATTCTTATTTCGAAAAAAGTGTCAAGGTTCAAAAGAGTATTTTATGGCCTCAATTCACATGTTAGCAATTTTTAAAACAGAAAAAACATATTTTTCTACTACTACTAATAAAAAAATGTACCTGGAAATTTGCAACTACAACTGCACCAAAACAAGCAACAACTCCAAAAAAGAGAGCTATTTTGTTTATAAGTAAAACTCTGGAAACAATCAATTCATTAGTTTCTAAAACATGGTTAAACTGAATAAAGCGTATAACAACAACAATGAATCCAAGAAAACTGCAGATGCTTAAAAGTAAACCAAATACATTGCTTTCAGGTTTCTGACTTCCAGTGTCACTGATTGTGGGGAAGAAAGGATATATATGTCCATCGCTTACTGCAATTGTGTATGTAATGATAAAAGTTAACATAACACAGACTCCAAATAGAACAGGAAAAATTCCAAGACCATATTTAGATACACATAAACAGTTGAAATGTTTAATTTCTTTATGTGGTGTCCTCTCCATTAACTATAAAAAGAAGAGTTCAAAGAGGTATTGAAAATATACAGCTAACTAGGTTTTATTTTATAATAAACATTATAAAATGAAAAGCCAAAACAGCAAATGAATTAAAAAATCAGAAAGAACTCACTAAGGTCTTCTTTCTTCTTGTTAAACCTCAAATATTTAACAATATTTAATTAAACTAAATTTTTTAAAGTTTCCTAAATAGGTACGTGACATAAAATTTTTAAACTAATTAAATACTAAAATATTATTTATCATTAGAATAGCTTTCAATAAAGTATTTTTAAGTTAAATTTAACTTTGTAACTATTATTTACAAAAAGATGTTGATATACCACCAATATATGTTGTACTTTAGAGTAGAGGCGGGGGGGGGGGGGGTTAATTGCTTAGCTTTAACTATTTTTGGTTGGCATATTTTGGTGAACAAAATTTTTAATACTAAACTTTTACCATAATAACATAACAAAAAATGACTGACCTCAAATACTTTCAGGTTAATGTTAGCAAAATGTTGACTCTTTTCTGAGGGCTGTTATCCTGAAATATTTAAATATAGGTACTTAATTTGTTATTTAAAATGAGAAAAATTAGTAAAAAACATATTTTACTATTTATCAAAATGTATGAGTCTTTTATCTATTGTCTTAGGGAAATGGGTGCTGCGTCTCTTGCTTCAAAAATTTAAAAATGAAAAAAATATATATATTTTGAGATTTAATTTATGATTCGTAAACTTATGATCAACTACCCAAAGACATTTTACTGTTTCAAATTAATGAATTAACAAAAAAAAAATTAATATCCAAATAATAATTTAAATTTTGATTCTTTTTTGAAATTAATTTGGAAGATATATTATATGTAAAGATCATTATATATTAAAGCAGTTATTGCGACATATATGTTGTTGTGATATATTTTGATTTATATATATATATATATATATATATATATATATATATATATACATATATATATATATATATATATATATATATATATATATATATATATATATATATATATATATATATATATATATATATATATATATATATATATATATATATATATATATATATATATATATATATACTCTTGCATGGTAGTCAAAAAGATTTTCCCATAAACTGTAGTTTTAAAGAGCGCAATAAACCAGACCAGAAAAAGTTTAAAAACTTAAGTTTTTTTTTTTAAATGATAGACTGCCTGCCTAAACCAAACCTTCAGTCGATGTAGCAGCACTCCCTTGCGAGTCAGGCTATTTGTCAGTCGATGTAGCAGCATTCCCTTGCGAGTCAGGCTATTTGTCAGTCTATGTAGCAGCACTCCGTTGCGAGTCAGGCTATAAGATAGTCGATGTAGAAACACTCCCTTGTAGCAGCAGGCTAAAAGATAGTCGATGTAGCAACATTAACGAATGTTTTAAAAATGTTTTTTAATAAAACAAAAACAAAAACACCACTAATTAAAAAAAATTAGTGGTTTTTTTTTACATTAAAAGACTCTTTCGACTACACTATAAGGATATATATATATATATATATATATATATATATATAATATATATATATATATATATATATATATATATATATATATATATATATATATATATATATATATATATATATATATATATTGCATTAAAACTTACATTATGTATACTATTGTGTTATATACTATCTTTTCTTTCTTATATAGACTTCACTACCGTTATAGTTCTTTTGAGCCAACCTAATATTTGGTTATTCGTTCAATAAAAAGAGCTAAAAATTAACACAAAGAAATAAAAGAAACAATGAAAAGATTCATGAAACCTGATAGACTTAATATAGATCCCAACTTACCAGATGCAGCAATAACATACAATCATTGGTTCAAAACAACTTTAATGAAATAAAACTTAATCTTCTAATTATTCATATTGATATGTATGAATATATTTCAGAGTGTCATGAGCTTTGGTAAGTAACAAAAAAATTGACTCTATTTATAAAAACCAAAGAATGAAATATTTGCCAGACATGTTTTATCTACATGTAAACACTGGTGAATCAATAGACCAATTCCTAAATGAGCTAAAGAACTTATCTTAAGACTCTAAGTTTAGTAATGTTACTGCAGAGAGGTAAAAATATGGAATGATTTGCGATGCCTTTTATAAATGGCTTGCTTTCCAACATTGTATGTTTATAAGAAAAAAAGACATAAGACCTTACATCAGCCTTTTACCAAACAAAATTTTAAATGTGGCCCAACAAAATTCAAACTCACAATCAACTACACCAATCTTCACAGCATCTATTCAAGAGTATTAATTTACCCATGCAAAAACTATCTACTTATACCATTAATTATGCAGTCACTGCAGTAAAATCATAGCAATTGTGTTGGTTCTGCTGTAACTTGAGACATCCACGTACCAAATGTCTTGCTTATTTTTAAAAAACTTTGTCAATCTTATAATTTTTCAGCAACCATTCCTAAAATTGAGGATAATTTTTTTTTAGTCTAGCTCAGCCTTAGCCAATTCTATCTTCCAAGTTGCCACAAAATTACTATTAATGACAAATATATAAAGTAAAAGCCTTGATAGTGGAAGTGCAAATAAAAGTTTTATCACTAATAAACTTGTAACTTTAATCAATTTAGAAGTTAATTATGAAGAGAATGTTATTGGAATGGCAACACCTTTTTTGTCAGTATTATTAAATAAATAATAACAAGAATGCTGACTTAAATTTTAAGTCAGCATTCTTGTTATTATACTTGTTATTATAATACTTTTTAAGTTAAAAAGTATTCTTGCCTAAAAGTCTAAAGAAAAAAACTATCATTTCTAAACGAAAAATATGTTTGTTAAAATACTGAAAGTTTCAGTATTTTAACAAACATAATTTTAGTACTAAAAGTTTCAGTATTTTAACAAGCATATTTCTTATCTAGCTTCTTTTTTTTGTTTTTTTTTGTTTGTTTTTGTTTTATCTAAACAATATTTTAAATAGTATTTCACATCATATTATATAATGATTATAATATTACATAATATAATAATATTAATTGTGTTTCATATATGATACATTGCATAAAATATGTCTATAAAATATTTAAAATATTAAGAAAAATTATATTTACAGAAATTTATCTAAATATTAATCCTCCAGTTAATGTTTAACGATGTTTCACTTTCGTTTTTAAAGTAGCCTTAATTAGTTACTTTTCTGAACTTTTTTTGAAACTTTTCTGAACTTGAAAGAACGCATTCTTAAAATGCACGCGGTCATCGGAGAAAGATCCACCTAGCAAGTTAAAACTTTTTACCTTTTGGAATTTGATTACTATTTATTAGTTTAGAAATATTAGATAAATAATAATAGAAGTATTAAGAAACACTGCTTTATCTTCTCATAAAGGTTAGGATAAAAGAAAAAATGCTCGGGAAAATATTAATGAAGCCTAAGTGGTGGTTATACAGGTTAATACATTTCTTATATTTATATACGGGGAAACGGCTTCAAAGTTTAGCTTTTGGTTGGTTTATTGTTATGACATGTTTTTTTTTTCTGATTTTTGTTCAAAGTCTTTTTAATAAGAGTTAAAGCAAGTTTTACTTTCAAGTTATAAACAAATTTTTTATTTTTATTATTTAAGATTAGCAAATATGTCAAACAATAAATCTGTTAGTAGTTGATTCTTTTTTAAAATTTTATTATTATATTTGCTTTCTTTTTTTTTAATTTATTCTTTTATAGTATTATTAAAATATTTTTTAGTTGAATCCTTGAAAAAACTTTGGAAAGGATTACGAGATAATTTTAAACGATGAAATGACAGAAGTGATAAAGCTATGTGATCAGGTTCAGCAGCATCTATTCTTCCAACCTGTAAATATTTTAAACAGTTACATTTCTTGACATGTCAGTTTTTAAGACACTGATTTTAATTTAGATTTAATGGTTGATGTAATAACATAGACCAGATCGATCCAAATATAGTTACAAAGTAATAACATAGAGTTCCAGATCGATCCAAATATAGTTACAACAAATTTAGCTGAACAAGTTGCTACCAGCAATTCGCTACAATTGAACACATAGCTTTGCTCAAGTCGTAAAAATAGACCCAATGATACAAGTTCCATTGATACATTACTTGTTGAAAGTTTACAACAACTAAACAAAGCTGATGCAATTGATAACATGGATTCTGATGATCTTTATTGAAGAAGTTTAATAAGTAGGTTAACTTTATATTCCATTCATTGTGTAAATACAAATCTCTAATATTCTTGATCAAAAAGATTAGATGTACTATTAACTATTCTATCTTGCCATACTTATGAACCTACCTCCGAATTAAAGTAATTTTTATAATTATTTCTAATAGATTTTTTTTAGTTAAAATACGTTGAACCACTTTGAGCTGGTAACTGAATAAATATATATTTACCATCTATTGCACCTAAACAATGAGGAAAATTCTATCGTTGGTAGAATTCTGAAGATATTTTAACCCATTGTTGTTGTGAAGATGGTGCTAATAAATGTCCTTTTTTACACAAAACATTTATAACAACTTGACATGTTTCTTTAATAATTCTTCCTACAGTTGTAGGACTTAATCTAAAACTTATTGCAATTGTTATCTGAGCATCGTCAGAAGCAAGATATCTTAATGCAATACATATCCTTTCCTCAGCAGTTGCAACTGAACGTCTCAGAGAAGATTTAGATATTAAAGGAGCAACCCAGGATAACAATACTTCAAAAGTTTGTGAACTTATGCGAAAACTCTGAAAAAAATATTCACTGTCAAGTAATTTTAAATCTTTTACTAATACATTTAATAAGCCTTTCTGCGAACGTTCCATAAAAATTCTTCGCATCCGCATACGATTTTTCCGACATTTTCTCAATAAAGACGTTTTTTTAATATCAGCAATAAAACTATTTTTTTTTTTAGTAACTTCCTTCTGTTTAAAACCATTTTATTTAACAACAAACAAAAACACTTGAAAATTCCACGCGGTGAATGGAGATTAAATTCTGCTTGAAGTTTTCTGCCTATTTGCGCATGCTCAAAGAACTTTTCCGTGCGGAAATTTCCAAAAATTCTGAAACATCTTAAAATTAGAGATATACAGGAATTCCGGCTGGACTTTGTGTTATTTAGATCAATTTGCTTCTGTCTGGAGTCAAATTATTATTTTTTTTACTTTTTTTTATGAGATGTGACACAGGCTGTGTAAATCAAAAAATCATTATCCTACAGAGCAATGAAGAACTAGGTATAATAGGTAAACTTAGGTAAAAAATACAAATGTAATTTTATTTGCAGAAATAGTAGTACTGCAAATACATTTGCAAAAATTAAATTTGTACTTTTTACCTTGGTTTACCTATAGTTCTTCATTGCTCTGTAGAATAATGATTTTTTGATTTATTTACACAGCCTCTGTCACATGTCATAAAAAAAAAAAGTAAAAAAAAAACAATTTAATTCGATTTGATCTAAATAACACAAATTCCGGCCGGAATTCCTGTATATCTTTAATTTTAAAATGTTTTGAAAAAGAAAATATACTCAATTTTTTACTGCTTTTTTACTTTGTATTCACTTGTTAATTACATTTTTTATTTCAGATTCATCATATCAAATGTAATTATGCGATAGAAGAAAAAAAAATTGTAAATTTTTGTGAATTTTTTAAAACATACTAATAATTAGTCCAGTCAACGTTCAATGTTCAACGTTGCATAGATCATTTTTAAGTCGTTTCTAGGCTTTTTTAAACACGCTTCTTATTGTTCACAAGTACGATATGCAAGCAAATTTAAGTTGATAAAATTTTCTTAGCTTTTAAGGAGAATAGATATTGTTCTTTGTTTAACTTAATTTGTTTAAATAGTAGTAGCAAAAAGTAGTTTTGATAAATAATTGTTTGTTTGTTCTTGGTTTTTTACTTATCTGCTTTCAGATTCTTACGAACTAAGCAAATAGCTAGGCAAGTTTATTTTTTATTTTTTAGAGCAAATGGAAAGAGCTGAAGTGCTTTTTAGTCACTTTAATTCGCTCTATTTTTTTTTTATTGTTAGAAGTGTTTATAAAATAATAAAAAAAATTGTAGATAGTAGAACTGTAACTGATTTGAGTAAATTATTATTTTCTTTCGTTTTATATTGGATTTATTTTATATTTTAAGGGAAGTGGAGGCATAACCGGCCTCGTAAGGTTTGGATTAATGCAGTGGCGGAACTTCAAAATTTGCCCCCCCCCCCCCCCCGCAAAAGAATGTTTTTTTTTGCGGAAAAGAGTTTTATAGTATAAATATTATTGAGAGTATAACTTTTTTTATATGAGGGCCCCCTATAGCTGGTAGGCTCCCCCCCGCAACGCAGGGTCCTGCGTCCAGTAGTTCCGCCACTGGATTAATGTTATATAAAAATAAAAACATAATGTGTATTTTTAAAAGTTTATTTCACAAAACAATAACCACATAATTAAGCTTTATATTGATGCAATTAAGAAAAAAATTAAATAGTTTTTCTAAATGTTATTACACAAAAATTAAGTGAAAAAAAAAACGGTTTTGCCCCCATTGTAAGGCACAACCGTGCCCTCACAAAAATTATTGGGGTACACTTTTCTTGATACATTTTCTTTACAATTATTACAGCTCAGATTATTTGCTGATTTTGTTGCACGTTTGCATACTGTGTAGACATTCTTTGTACTTACAGTCTGAGTTTTCTCATTTGATATACTTATAGCTTTATATTTTATTTAAAAAGTCATTTATAAAAATTAAATAAAATATACGAAATCTAATTACCAAAATCTCAAAACAAAACTATTTTTAATTCTATTTCAGTTTTTACTGAACGCATTCAAATGTGACGATTGTAATTATCATTATTCGTAATTACCTAACTTTGATAAATATCAAAAGTATGCGGTTGTGCCTCCTGTGCGTCAATGTGGTTCTGCCCCCGAGAACAGTTTTTATAAAGAATACAATTTTATAGCTTGCTTATTAGGTTATGTTGATATCAAAAATGGTTTTCACTCGATGAAATAATGCTAATAACACATATCTTTAACAATAAAATCAAATATTACTTAATCCTCAAAAAAACGGTCTGGAAAAATATGATGTAAATATAATATTTTTACCAAAATAAACATTATTATGCACAACTTCTCAGAAACGTAACTGATACTCTTTTTGACATGAGCAAAATAAAGAAAACTGTTTTACTAACGCGTGGTGTTTTTTTTGCCATATTAGATAACATTTTTCGAAGATAAATGTTAAAAAACGGTTAGACCCTCACTTCCCCTATATATTTTTTATGTATTGAACATGAAATACTGACTGTTATTTGTTGGCATATAAGTTTATATACACAAATGTGCCTATATTTTAGTATATTTTATATTTCTCAGAATCTATAGGAATATTTTCTCATAGAAAAATAACAAATAATTGAAAAAGCAAATAAATTCTCCTGGAAGTAGTCAAAAAAAAAAATAGTTATGCTTCTCTGTTTAAAGTGTTATGCATCTTTTTAAAGGTATGTGAATATATATTTTTTTAAATTGTTAAATTTGCTC